TGGTGAGTGGCAGCCTAGGGATGGAGGCAAAGTCTGGAGTGCCCCTTTGCTCACAGCATGGATGCCTGCCTGGTAAAGACAGCTACGTGACTTAAGCTTAAGATAATAATTAAAGAAACAAGAAACAGGGACTTACAGCAAAATGATGAATCCCAAGTTTGACTTTTAGTTTTAGCTCCGTAGCTCTGTCAGCTTCTGTCAAAGTCTGCATCTTGCTTTTCTGCCTTGCAGAACATATTTTGAAGGATTCCTATTTAAGTATTTAGTAAATGGGTGTTAGACCTGTTGATAAGCTGAGTACAAAGGGACTAAACCAGCCGGGGAGCCAAATGCTGTGATGAATTCTGGCTTGGTGCTTCAGTAGCTGGGAGGCTTGAATGGCATCAGTACAACTGCTGGAAAGAAGACCCGAATGTTAAATACAGTGGCTCTGTGTTGGTACTGTGGGCTCATCTTGGCTTTTATCACTGCCTATTTATGCCCAGGCAGCTGCGGGTCAGCTCCGGCTTTGTCAGTTGTTACCAGAGCCAGATTAATACCGGAGAGCGGGATCTATCTGTTCGGTTATGTCAGCAGTGGTGGCCAGTCCTGCTTTGCTGGCTGTCGTGTTGTCCACGGCTGCCCAGCACAGGCAGTGGCTGGGTGAGAGCAGGATCCTCCTCCCTCCTTGGCAGCACCAGCGCTGCATTCGCAGGGCTCTGCAGGGAGCTGGGGTGGAAAACTGGTTCAGCACACAGCAACTTAATTTCATAGGATTCAGCTTTTTTGCTAAACTGAAGTGGGCCACGTAACTGGCTAAAGATCTGCCTGCTTAGTAATTACAGAGTCTCATTTTGTTTGATTTGGTGTTTGGTTGCCAGTGCTGGTCATGTTGAAAGCCGCTCGCGGCCGCTGCGGTCTGTTTAGCGCTCCTCTCTCCCAGGCTGCTGCTTCTCTGCCTGTTCCCGTTCTGCCTCAAGGCAGCCTTCCTCTTCTCAGGAGGGCTGGTATGTGTGCAGGGCTTGGCCAGGATGGCTGTAGCAGGGTTAATATATTGGCTATCTTGACACAGGTGTCATCCACCAAAAAATGCAAATTCTTTTTTCACCAAAATTTAAAAGAAACCTGGACAACTTGATAGAGAAGAATTTTCATGGGAGAAAAACTGAAAGCAGAATTTCACCCTCATAAACAAAACAAAACCCCAGCTTCTCATAAATGTTTCTCATTGGTATTGGATATGCTGCTACCATGCTAGATACATGCTTTACTCCTGGCAAAAGTAAAGGGGAGATCTTTGTTCTGGCAGTCACAGAATAGACCGCTCATCTGTGTAAGCTTAACACATCCGTCATATAAGCAAGCGTGGCCTGCTCTTTGCAACTACACAAAAGGATTATTACAGTCCTTTCCTAAAAATTGTCTTTAGCTTTACTCTTCCCTTTTTTTAGGTCTTTCCATTTCTTTAAGTGACAGAGCCTGGCTGTTGTGAGTGCCTTCTCTGCCTACCGAGGCATATAAATAATTTCCTTTATTACCACAGTTCTGCTTTGAATGCAGTCCCTTGATACAGTCCTTTATGTGCATTTGATCAAGTCTTTGCCTTTGATCTGCCTGTGATTATTAATTCTCTATTATAATTAATGGAGGCTTTGTCTTTCTCTTGCAGTCTCTATCAAAAGATCTCGGAGTCTTTTGTAAATGTTAAGCGATTAGTAATGCAGTAGCAGACTGGTGAGTTGTGTGTGTGGCTTGTCTCTAGAAAAGAGACAAAGAGTCTCAGTGTATCAGCATGCACTACGTTTGGGGCTGGTTTGAAATCTTTTAGTACAAGTTTTTCTTGGAAAATACCAGTTTTTGTAAAACTTTTTATTTTTTTAGTGTTCCTAGAAGGCTTGCAGTTTTGAGGACGACTTTTTATGAAAGAGTTTTAGGTGTCAGATGGAAATTCTGCGTGTGTTGGTCTGTGATAGGCAAACAGAGGAGCAGGTTAAGAGACAGACATTGCAGGGTCTTTACCCGCCAGGGACCTGTTGCCTTCTGGTCTGACACCGCATGTGGGAAGTGGGAGCCCCAGCAGATGCTTGATCTTTTATGCAAGGGTTGGCTGCTTCATCAGGGCGATTTGTCCCATGGCCGCGTCTCACCTGAGGTGTGAGTGAATGAGGGTTGTGTCACTGGTCTGAATGGGGTAGAAATGGTCTTGAATACGGACCTCCTATTTTGCATGTGACTATCTCAACTCTTAGGATATGAGTTGCAGGCAGGTGAGTCACTGTCTGAAAAAGTGCAGCTGGTTGCGGTTTTCCCTCTGGGAAGAGCAAGGAAACTTGGAAAGCAGTAAGACGGGGGCAGGAAAAGAGCTTCCCGTGCAGTTCGCGTTACATGGTTATTGCACGTTTCCCTTCTGTGTGCTGCTCCGACCAAAGAGGATGACAAAGTTACTTGAACAAATCATCTGTAATGGAGCCAAGGGTAACAAACCAGTCTAATAGCTTCCAGAGTTAGGGTTTAATCATGAGATGAAAGTACATTGTGTAAAAGTTGTGGTCAAGCAGTGCTGCAGAGCCAGCTCGGCACTGGTTGAATGCAAAGTAGAGCACTGTATCCAGAAACCCGTGATTAGCGTCACGGCAGCTGCTGTCTGCGGGGTGGGATTCAGCTTTGCAGTCAGAAATAACTAGAGCTAAAATTAAGTAGCATTTACCGTCTGATTTTGTAAGAGTCAGAGGCTTGCGGTCAATTTTTTAATAACAAGGCAGTGAATGGTAGACTTATGAGGTGAACTGTGCTATTGTTGATATCTTTTAAAATTACACTAAAATTATTAAGAGTGAAGGTGGAAAGGATCAAATTGTTGACATCAGCTTGTTCTTTCTTATAAAAAGGAGAAAGCGGGGACTTTTCTTCTTTTTATAGTGCTCCTGCTGACTTTAAAGGCCATTTTCTGACTTGTGAGAAATCCTTGACAGCTCTGGTGGCACTTCCAACTTTCTGCAGCTAATTGCTCCTGTTCTGTGCAGTTTGCGTGTAATCCCATGTGCCGAGACAGCCTGCCTGGCTTACAGATGTAGTGCTGTATAGCATGTGTGTATGCGATCCACTCATTACATTAATTTGTTCGAAAGGCCAGCACAGCTTCTAATGTGACTAAATCATGTTGACTGCTGACACTGCCAGGAGATTGTTAAAACATCGGAGGGCTGCCAGGAACCCTTGCTGCTTTCCTGGGGACTGGTAGAGAAGTGACCTTTTACTCGTGAATTTAAATTTCTGGTTCAGGGAAATACTCAGGGTTTTTGCTGAATGCTTTGGCCACTTGCCTCTCCCTTGTTACTCAGAGGACTAGTGCTGCCTGTTAATTAAGGATCTGCTCAGAGAGGAGATTTCCAGCCAGAAGGGAGGGAGGCTATAGCAGACATCTGGGAGAAATTGTGGCTAATTCTGCCAGATACCTTTCCAAGGCATCATCTTTCTGTGCCTGTAGTTACACCTGACTTATCCTGTGTAAGTTCACAGCTGAGTCATTTAGACTATCAGCAAGTTTTATGTTAAGGCTGTAAACATTTAGCAGAGTCACACAGTTGTGGGTCAAGGTGGGGGCAAACTCTTTTCGTGGGCAGGAGAGTGTTCCCTGGATGCTGGGGCTGCTCATACGAGTTCTGCTGGCACATCCGAGGGAGACCTCTGCCCTGGCGTGGTGTGGCGTGGCGTGGTGTGCCGGCGGGAGCGAACAGCCTGGCCCAGGGCAACAGATACAGGAAAGGTTCTGCTGGGGACCAGCCTGGACTAAGTGATGCTACTCCAGCCTGTACTCAGTTTCCTCCCCCTTCCTGTCTTCCCCTGCTGCAGGTTTCCTCTGGCTGCTCTGTGAAATGAAATGATCAGGCTTTAGAGAAAGATATTTTACATAGATCTCATTTAGAGAGCAAAGAACTATGCCAACACAACAGGGGAAGATGTTGCCTGTGGGGAAGGAAGGGAAGAAGAAGGGGACCTGTGAACGGGCAGGTGGAGAGCAGGCAAGGGGCAGTAATACCTCATGTGGGCCCTACCATGATTATAACCTGTTGTCCAAGCGCAGCTCTGCTCTACCAGTAAAATGCCCTCTTGCGTGGATGGCTTGTCAGTGGAAGGATCTGGTATAAATCTTACAGCAAAGCCACTGTTGCTGATACCGAGTTGAGGAGGTTGACGTTTGCCAATCGATTAATATCCAAAATCTTTTACAGTACCTTTGGGTTTGTGAAATCATGGGCTGAAAGCTGTTCTTTGTTGTAAATTTGCATTAAAACACCTATCAGGTTCTTCTCAGAAATGTACCTGTTCCTCCATCCTGATTATTATTGTAACTGTCTCCACTCGCTTGTTTGTGGGTTCTCTGTTTTTTTCCCAGCGTTGTGGCTCGGTTTCCTTTTCCTGCTTCTGTTGCTTTGCTCAACAGTGATAAGTGAATACTGGGGGCAGCGAGCAGGGAAAAAGTTCTCAGCATTTGTTGAAGCGCAGCGTGAAAGGGTTCTGGAGTGCAGCAGATGTTGGGAATACCCTGGCAAATTTGTGTGCCTGAGCGCAATTGCTTCTCTGCATGCTGGCTGTTGCTCTGTGAACCCGTGCGTTCCTGGGGCAAGCTGTCGTGGTGGGGAACCCGACTGTGCTTTGGCCAGAGGGTGGAGATGACCTTCTCAGGAAGCTTCTTGTGGAGAAAATGCCATCTTTGAGGTGCCTGCTCTTAGGCGGCCCACAGCAGGCCAGGGGAGGCACTTGGCTATCTGCAGAAGCGGCAAGGATAGGGAAGGATTCCTGGCTGGGAGTCTGTGGCCAAGTGCTGTGTCCTCCCTCCCAGCCCCCCCACCTAGCAGCTGGGAGGCTATCTTAGTGCCTCCTCCTGTGTCACCATGCCCGAATTAACGCAGGTTTGTCAGTCCCGAGGTGGCAGCCCCTCATCCAGTTGCTGCTGCTCCTTCAGCATTCAGACGTCCCATACGGTTCATCTGCGACCTGTTTGTGCTGCTGGGGCCAGGATGGCAGGGCTCCTGTGTAAGAGGCGCAAAAAAGGAGGTAGGAAACATTAGGTTTGTAGCAAGAGTCTCTTCCTAAGCTGTCTGCTTCGGAGCTGGTGTACGGGCTCTCGGTAAGCAGGGCTCTCCCTGGCCAGCAGGCTTTGGGAGGCTTTCTGCTGACATAGCTGTGCTTTGCCAGTAGCAGTAGGAGAGGATGTTTTGGTCCTGCGTGATCTGGCCCAGCCGCACTGGATCTGAAGGCAAGTGTAAGGATTTTATGTGGCTCTTCATATCATGAGGGATGGGGGCTTAATACACAAATTCGTATTAATGTTTTCTTTCGGTTTAGTAAATTGCTCAGAAACAAGGTATCGTTGTTAGGAAGAATGGGGATCATTTTTATATTAAAAGAAAAAAAAAAGCAAGTCTATCATCTTAATTGACCTTTTGGGAATAAAACTAGTTTAGCTGCATTTAAAAGTATTCTGGCTTGAAATGTATGCAGCATTTTGTTTATATAGCATACACTGAAGACAGTACCATGTATTCACTGCCCAGAGGAACTTAGCAGCTCTCTTCTGCGTTTGCAGAGCATTAGGAACAGCGATGCCCTGACCTTATTGAACGCTTGGCATTCCCAGCATGACAGCAATGCTATAATAATGAAAAGAGAGTTACATCTAGAAACAAGGCTGGTACTTCTAAAAGGAGTCTTTTTTTAAGTGGAATTTGGGCATTTATACTCCTAGCAGGGTTTTAAAAATCTTACTTGTAATGTCCGGTTTCCGCACGATTTTTCTTGTGCCTCCTGGTGGCTGTGTTCCTATGGGCATCACAGTGTAGGAGCTGCTGGGGTGAGAAGGCTCTAGTAGGCGTAATGCAAACAGGGCTGGGTAAGGCACGCTGTTAGAGCTGTTTTGGTCTGTTGCGTGAGGCCTCTTAGTGCCCTGACTTTTGTTTGGAGAGTTTTCCAAGAAAATGAGAATGAGTGCAGAAAAAGGGGTAATTAAGAGTTTCTTTAATAACGACATTTATTCAGGAGGTTAAATCTCAGGCTGCAGGCATTGTATTCTGTTCGCAGTCGAGAACGCTGCTCTCTTCCCTCCCCTTTGCAGAAGGTACACAATACAGACAGCAAGCTGTGCTTACTGCTGGCAGCCCCCCTTCCCCCAGGCTTTGTGCCGTGTTAGCTCTAACCAGCTGCTCTAACATGGTTCATAAGCCATAAGGTCTCAAAATATGAGACTGTTGTTTGTTGCTTGCATAACATAAGAACAGCATTTCATAATTGAGGATTTTAGTCATGTTCAATATCATGCTGTGAACCAGAATTAGCTAGTGTCTTGGAACTGCAATTAAGAGATGTGGTAACTTGTGTTAAGCACCTGTTTCAAGTATCTGTGAGAGAAGGGTGGGGATTGTAGTGTATTCTTCTTCCCTGTCCTCCTCTGGGGCAGTAGGATCTCTGTGTTTTCCCCTTCTATCAGGAAAAAAACAAGTGCTGATGCAGGATTTTGTAACCATTGCAGACTGCATGCAAATGATTACCCTGTGGTTTGATTTTCCAATGGGAAAGGGGAGTAGTGACTGTTCTTGAAGGAAGTGCTTGTTGGGATACTGTCACTATTAGTTAACTGTTCCTCCTTTTCTTTCCCCAGAAAAGTTTGTCTAGCAGACCTTATTTATTTGGAAGTCCTTGCTTTTCCCTGAAAAGAGTATGGGACTTGGATCTCTCCCAAAGGAGACTGCGATACCACAAACGCTGCCACAAATTATCTTAGCCCAGGCTAACACAGAACTGTCACGGAATAGACGGGGCTGTTACGGTGTCTTTGTATCTTCTATTTCAAATGCATGTATTTCAATAGCTTGGCTTATAATAAAGAATCGTTATCTGAGTTTAAGGGGAGATGTGCCTTGGAGAGTGTAAAAGTGTTATCGCGTTGCTAGTGCTTTTCTTACTGTCAAGCTCTGTGAAGATACTAAAGAACTATTCAGTACTTGTCCTCAAGTTCAGTTCCTCCCATGTGGCAGGACGTAGGGAAGTATTTTAATTTCCATTGTATTGATGAAGGGTACTTTACTGACTTTCCCAAATGAGAGTTGTAGCTTTAGGACAAGAGCTTGAAATCACAAATTCCATATTTGTGTTCACCAGATCATCTATTTTTAGCCAGCGGCAATGCTCGAACTAAATACATTTTCATCTTTACTTGGTAGGTCTCCCTGGGATTCTCTGAGGCTTTTAGTAAGGCCAGTAGCAAGTTGCAGTTCCTGGTGTTCTGCATCTGGAAGAGGTGGTGATGAGTGGTGGCCATGCTATCAGAAAAGGAGTTTGTTTTTACAGTTTGCTGTCTGCTCTACATCTGGGCTGTCCTGCAGACAAAGCTCATACCCCTTCCTTCTGGAGAAATAAGCACTTTTCGAGGTTGCTCTTGCCACAGAATTGGGTTTCTTGCAAAATATTTTCAGCCAGTTGTGTGGTGGCTCAGTTTAATAAGAAGCTATAAAAGGATGTTACTTTGATTTTATTTTCCACTGCAGCTGCAGTTCTTAATTCCATAAACTGTGGGCCCGTTTTGAAATGGATCTACCAGATATTTTCTCTTATTATGAATACCCTCTTCAGCGCCTACATATCTGCAAACTTTGCATTTATTACAGTCTTTCTTTCTGTTTTTTCCCCTCTATTCAGTGAGTGACCTCCAAGAAGAAGGTAAAAATGCTATCAATGCACCAATGAACCCAAGTACTGTGGACATCCATCCAGAAGACACACTATTAGGTAAAGTATTTGTGCTACAGATCTCGACTAAGCAATTATTAATGAAGATGGCCACTGTGACCTCCATATCCATTGCTTTACAGTTGGATGTAGATTGCTCAGTTGAAACTGGGAGAATTGGGCATGAGAATTGAGAACTGTTGCATCACATGTAGACTAGAAATTAGAAGGGTTAAAACGGAATTTAAAGAGCAGTGCCAGCTATGCAGATACACTTAAACTAGGTAGTTTATGGCAAAATTGACTTGTTCAATGAATTGGCAGAGAACTTGAGTTCTTCTGTGATCATCCTTAAAGTAGATAGAAAGTTGAGGTTTGCACAGAATTAGATGGAAAATAATGCTGAATTTGTCTGCTTAAGATTTACTTCAGTTCCATTAACCCATTGGCCAAGTGCATCTCAGACATCCTTCTTTGGTAAGGAAGCGGTATCTTCTCTCTCTCTATATATATAGACAGGGAACTGAAGTGCAAAAGGACGAACCCACACAAAGCCTGTGGCAGAAGTGTGTGTCGTGGTTCCGGGGGAACCCTTAGACTGCCTTGTCTCAATGTACATACTACACAGTTGTTAACTAGTGGATGCCATGTTCCTCCTTGGGTTACTGCTGCCACTTTGCAAATGACTGTATAGCAAAATGGGACCTGATACTGAATGAACAGATGAGTGTTTAGGCTGCTGAAAATAGTAATTAAATGTGATTAGGGTAGAAGTACGTAAAACAAGCAGTGCTTTGTAGAAAGAAGGTAAATATTCAAAATCCTGTTCTCTCCGTTCCCCCCCGCCCCGAGTCCCTGCAAGAGCAAGAGCATAATTTAATAGCAAAAAGTGTTTAAAACTTGTTGGAATAAAACACTTTGTTCTTTCCTGGCCATATGTCTCAAGCTACAGAATTAGCTGAAGCAAGCTGTCATGGAGACAAATGATAAAACAGTAAATTAAAAACAAAAAAGTGTTAGTCATTTAGATTTTCTGATTAGAAGAGTAGTGGGAAATGCAAAGTACTGTTCTTCTGAGATGTGGGCAAAGTGTTGATTGCTCTGTGTATATGTGCGGATCAGCAGTGATTTCTTCTGGGTACCGCTAAAGGTGTGTATGACTTTAGAAGATGCAGGACCACTCCTGGAGGCCTGTCATGCAAAGACATGACCACCCGTGAACCTTAAGCAAAGTTCTGTGGTGAATCGTGTACCGTTATGGGTCTAACCTTGTTCAGGGTTTCAGTATTTTGGGTGTGTAGTGGGTGTCACTTCCTTAGGACTAGACTGCCTGACTCATCCTAGGCAGTAATGAGGAAGTAAAGGACCAGGGGGAAAAAAAGCAGCAAAAGAATTACGTTTTTTTTGTAGATTTGTGGAGATTTGTCAAGTATGTTCAGATAGCAGGGTCTTATTTTTTTAATAAAGATAAGTGGCTCTGGAAAATACTGAACCCAAATGTCTGGGTGAAGTCTAAGGTAACCAGTTAGGTGGTATGGTCTGTCTTGTGTCTAGGATGTGCGAGTGTCATGTTTCCCGCCTGACAGCAGTGGAGTCTAGCACTGCAAGAGGGAGTCGCTGTAGGCTGGTCATTGTCAAGTTTTAAAGAGTTCCTCTGTGCAGTGTGGCAATGGCCTGACCAATGGTCATACCGAAACCCCTCCTTTGATGTCATGCTGGGACGAATTGAGAAATCAATAGGAAAATAGGATTCCATATGGCCTGTCTAGACTTATCTAAAGATAAATCCATGGGTTTTATAAAGAATTATTTTAGCTGAAGAGATGTGAATCTCCTCGCATAGCTGTGACACTGTCACCCATCCTTGTGTTCCTGTTGTGTAGTAGCCAGCGTTTGCTCTCCACTGAAGGGAACAGATCTAACCTAGATCACAGCTACTACTTGGCTGCTAAAGGAGCTAAAATGAAGGGTGCAGGGAGAGGTGTATGTGAAAGCAAGCACCAGAATTTAAAATACGAGACTTGCTCCAGCTGCTTCCTAAATGCTGCTATCCATATCTACAGTAGCGTATAAACATGCATGTGTCCGTGTGTGCTGTTGTGAAGATAATTCTGCCAAAGGTTGTTTGATAGCCTTATTGAGCTCAAGTTGATTTTGCTACCAACATTTCTGTATCAAATCATCCCTTCTAAAAATCAGTCTTTATATTCATGCTTCTTGTGGTTGACCTGCTGGCCGTTGGAGAGCATTTCTCACATCACTCCATCTCCCAGCAACAGGAGAAATAGAAGACTTTACACCTGAGAAATCTATTTTATGTTCTTCCTCCACGCACAAGTACAACTGATATAAATTGGGGTAGTTCTCATTCTCCAGCTTAACCAGAGGTTAAGGAGTTCATGCAGTCCGGGCTGCATGCATGACCAAGTTTCAGGCGGAGGCACAAACTGTCAGCCCAAGTGGCAGCAGTTGCACTGAGTGTAGTGCCATAAGCTTGCTATACTCTTCATGATGGTGTAATTTGGGACAGGTGTTTTCAAACAGAAGTTAAATACAAATTGAGGAGAGGGAGAAAAGTAGTTGACTGCGCTTTTTGGCATGTTAATATTAACATGCCCCACAGAGTATAGAGGACGGTGATTTTCCTGAAGCATTCTGCATACAGCAGGGTCTGAGCTGGGGAAGGTCAGTGGAAACAATCTTATTTTAGGGAAGTTAGGGCTGTGTTATCTTTCTGTGTGTCTCTAAAAAATGCCTAACGCTTTGATCATCGGATATTCCCTTGCTAAGACGATGACTAGGCACTGTCATTTCTTGGTCAGCTGACAGGACACTTCATGATTAGGAACTGTTGCAGTATTTCAGCAGTGTACATTTGAAGTGGATCTCACTAAAGTTTCCCATTTTACTTGGACAGAGGAGAATGAGGAGCGCACTATGATTGATCCTAACTCAAAAGAAGACCCCAAGTTCAAAGAACTGATCAAGGTAGGAAATCACTATTTTGTCCTTCCTCAAATCTTTAACTAGTGAGCCGGAGTCATTTACAAGCTGGTTACGAAGAACACAGTTGAGGAATAACAACTTGTTACTGCAGTATATCTGTGAAAACTGAGGTCATCAACAAGGTAAGGCTAAAAGCAACAATGAGAGAAACAAGAAAAGGCTGAATGTCGGAGTGCTCATGGTAGTTATGGAGTAAAGGTCCACTGTCGATTTATATCCTTGTGATTATCACAGCAAGGATCAGTGCTTAGCTTGAATCTACCTGCAGTCACTGCAAATAAACCTAGGTTCCTTCTGTTTATGAAAACAGGGAAGGAGCTTTGGAAAGTGTTAGTGAGATTTCAGGAGAAGAAAGAGTAGGACTGAAATGAGTAAGGGCATGGTAGGGGACAACGAGACCTCTGGTGTTATAGGAGAGTTGGAACTAAGATTCTTCTTGCCCTGTATTCTGTTGTTTTTTTTTTAAAGAAAAGTCCACAGTTGACCTGTGTGCTGGGGCAGGGGCCAGATTGTCCTGAATCTGTATTGTCACTGGAGACACCTGCCCAAGGTGTTGATAATGGTGTTCCCAGCTGTGGTGATGTGAAGTGTGGCTTCCTGCCTCAGCAGTGCTCATCGTTTCTGCCAGGTATGATGGAGGATTTGATCTTGAGGGACTAGTGTTTAGGAGAACCTTTTCTATGCAGTAGGTTGTTGAGGTTAACATAGTGAAAGCTTGAGCAGGAAGAGTAGGGATGGCAATTCTGAACAAATGTGATCTCTTTCCAAAAAGCATTTGTGCTTGTGTTATACTTCCTGCTACACTTCCTCTTTATTATTTTAAAATTATTTTTAAAAAGTATTTTTGTTAGAAACAATGATGAAGCTGTAGGTGGGTAGGTCTGAAAACTTTGGATAACGTATACTGTCTCCAGATAGGGGGTTGAGCTGTGGCACATTCCTTTCAGGAAACCTTGTGCACCCTGGCTGCACACATGTGCTTCACATAGTGCCTCAGCAAACTTCTGACCTGGTGGTACATCTTTAAAACAAGCCCAGTGATTTGTTATTAACATTGCAATAACATGTTTAGGATTACAAAACCACATCAAACTGAGTTTAGCAAGGAGCTGTGCTCAAATTTCTTTGTTATTCTAATTCACCTGGAATACATTGTGGTTTTAAATTAAGTGAATTTGCACATTCTTTGTTAGTACCTAAATCCATTAATTCTCTCAAAAGGTACAGTGGTCTTGCACTGCTTTCTCAAAATGTACTGTGGTTTCTTTGATGGAGCAGCGATATTATCATGAATACTTCAGCTGAACCGGAGTTGTTGCAGTGAAGGAGCCAGATGCACTCTATGATGCAGGAGACTCGATACTGGATGAGGAGACTCAAAGAACTGCTTTTAAAAGGGGAATTTTGCTGTTGAATTTAATACGAGTTGGTGAGTCTTCCCTGGATGTTGTAGTCTAGCAAGGTTATGTTTTCCAGTTTAAAAACCTGAAAACCTTCAGAAGGAGTGAAAATCAGGGCTAGAGCAGCACTCGAGAATGTGTCTGAGTGCTTACAGTGCATTGCAGAATCAGGCTCTGGTTCACTACACCAGTTTACACTTCCATGAAGAGAGAGTAATGTATTACCAATTGAACTGGAGCTGCTGGCGCAGGGAACAGCATGTAACTGGAGATTGTTTCCTTGGGATCGTCCTCAAAGGAGAGATGTGTCCTGTAGAGTGCCTACTTGAAAATTATGTCATTTAGGTAATTGCTGATCATTTGCATACCTCTCAGCAGTTGAGAATTTTTACAGAGATTCAGCTAGAGAATATTTAACACTATGCTGGTGTGAATCTGTAAGGCAGGGAGAGGTTTGAATTATGTTGGCAAAACCTATTTTATGCCACAGAGTGTGGATAATGCAAAAAAATGAGCAATTTATTCTTTGTTTTCTATTCTTCAGTGGTTAACGACATTTTCCAAGAGTCCCAGTGCTGGATGAGAATTAGCCGTGCTAAGTGCTGTACAGCAGCAGCCAGCAGAATAGCCTGCCTGCCCCACAGAGCTTGAAATGAAAGATCTCCACAGACTCCACAGAGTGAGGAGTTGAACAAATGGAGGTTTTTATAGTCCAAAGTGGTTCTTCCTCTTTTCCCCTCAGAGGAATGTGTCAATAGCAGCAATAGAGCCTCATGCCTTTTGAAATTTGGCAGTATGGCTTAGTGTCATTGGTGCCAGCCCAAATCTCTTTCAACACCAGAGTTAGACATGCCAATGGTTTGCCATCACTGATTTTGAGTGTTTCTGTTCTGTCAGTCACATGCAGCTGGATAAATGGATCTCACTGCAAAGAAGCAGCAGAGATATCTGTTGCTGACACTGCTTTAATATCTCTTTGTCTCCACAAAATGTTGTTTTAATTTCTGCTAGCCTCATGCCATAGGAATTATATGCATAGTGGATTGATCAGTGCAAGCTGGTGTGAGCGTTGGGAAGTGATTTTGACAGAGACGTAACTCTGGAGAGACAGATTGTATAGCATTGTGGTAACATGGAGAGACCAATAGAAAAAAACAAACAAACAACAAAAAGCCTCATTCCTCACTCTTATTAAAGCAAATGTACAGTGAATCGCCTTGTTGAAGGCTGCTCAGTTGCAGATGCTAAAATACCTGCTTTAAGTCCTCTTGCACATGTGAAAATCATCAAGAACTAGAATTATGCCATGAAGTGTTGTTTGTTATCATCATTGACAGTATTCTAAAAATAGTTGGCCGCAATTTGTCAATATGAAGTGTTCAACTAAGTTCCCTCTGTGGCCAGCAGCATTTTTTCGCTCACTTCATTTGCTCTGTGTGTAATCAAACACAGTTTGGTACATGGCTGAACAGACCTAAAGCTGAAAATTCAGATCAGGGACAGAGAGATGAGTTATTGTTTTATTTATATGTATGTATAAATAATTTATTCACAAAATATTCTATTTCTGGTGTCTGAAATGTGTGAGCTGCTTCTACTCATTGCCCAATATTTGCCAAGTGACAAGCGCACAGCTAACTTAAAGTTAGCGTTTGAATTATAAGTTTGGGCTGTTTTGAGATAGGATACAGAGGTGTCCTGTGGTACGTTGTTTCTTCTTGTATACTTCGGAGTCAGGTTTCTAGTCTATATGTTATTGTGAATCTGTTTAAAATTCAGTTTCCATTAATGTATAAAGTTCCATTAGTTGGTCCATGTCACTAATTGTAAAGAGTGATTGGGGGTTCTTCTAGCTTTCTTTTGCACAGATTTTTGTTTGATTTTTGTCATACCTCACATTTTTTAACGCTGATGCTATCAGAAGAAAATTATGTAAACAAATTTAAGCTTGCATGGGAAGAAATCAGTCCCCTCTTACTTCCTCTAGTGAAGGAATTCTTGAGCTGCATCACTATTTCTAGGAGCCTAGAAAATTGAAAACTTAAAAAAAAAAAAAAAAAAAAAGGCTGATCTATGTGTGCTTTCCATGTTGTTCACGTGCGTTTCTTTGTGTATTGGGTGTAAAGGTGGAAGGAAATCTTTTTTCCCGTCTTCTGGTTCAGATATGGCTGAAGGGTAAAAGTTTCAAAAGCTTCATCACTGCTTGTCATCCTAAACATAATTAGAATTAATAGGCTGTAGGAATTGAGTCAGAGACTTTGAAAAGATATTTTAACATAAGTGGCAGATATCCTAGGGTTTTCCCATGTATTTTGGTGGGAAAAGTATGCAGAAGAGCTTCTACTAATTGAATCCAAAATTTTAGAACAGTAGCTTGCAAGAATTGGGTCCAATCTGAAAGTGCCTTGCCTTGACAAAAGACAGCAGGTCACAGTTGCAAGATACTTTCCCTCCCTGCAAGGACTTCTGTAAGATCGGCTGGTGCTGCAACAACTTTTGGCCTTTAAAGCCTCATCTAAACTTAATACAGATCCAAACACTGCTGCTCTAGATACTGCCTGAAATGAGTAAACATTCTTATTTGTGGTAAATCATTCACTGTCCTAGAAATTATCACCTTTTTCCTTGTCTAATTTTATGGCTTTTTTGAATTCACTGTGGTGAAGAGAAAACCAAAACGCAGCCACTCTTCTTTTGGTAAGGTTTCACGTGTGACCAGGTGAAACGGTGCTTCCTAAATGCTCCGTGGTCTGTGTTTGAAAACAAGAAGCCTGCTCTTTGTTTACAGGCTGCCAGTGCTTTGTGCTTAGTCAATAGTTTCCAGGCCTGAATATGACTTCTTAATACTCATTTCTATGCTTAACCCTGAAGCCAGTTAAGCTTTCATACCTTTGATCTCTGCTTCCTAATTCTCCCAGAAGTCAGGGGAAAAGGGTCGTTGAAATCAGGGTTTTCTTTCTTTGCTGTTTTTGGTGACTGGGCTTCCTGTTTTCCCATTGTGCCAGATGTGTTCATGTATTTTGTCTTGTTTTTCATTTTGTAGAGCGGTGACCGTGGGGTCCTTATGCTCTTGAACTCTGCAGATTAACTCTGCATGTGCCTCACCGCCATGGGAGCAGCCAGCCTGCAAAACAAAAATACTTCACTGAGCTGGAGAAGTTTAATGTAAAAACCCATCTTGCATGAACTAAAAGACCAAATTGACCAGGCAGACTCATTTTTCCTTCTAGATTTCTAGCACTCTCTCGTTTCAGCTGTCCGCCTTGTGGCGAATTTCAGTTTTCAGCCTAGTGTTTAGTAATGCAACATGGCTGATTTAACCAGACATAGGCATTTGTCCTAAAAATGATACGATAAATGGATGTGTCAGAATTTAAAGCACCGCTGGAAATGTTACAACTATGAACGCATGTGTCTGGGCTTTTGATGCAGTTCAGAGATGTTTTATATGAGTATGGATATGCACGAAAGGGCAGGCATGGTTTTGAGGACATGGGTATATTGTATTAAAGTTTTAAAATCACACTGCTAATCCCAAATACTATAGAAGACTACAGAAAAGCAGCTTTTTATGAAGATATGACAAGTTAAGTGACCTAAGAAACATTTCCATGTACCTGCATGCTGTTTTGTGAGTCTGCAAGTAATGAACAAGCAGTTGAGTCTCAGCTGCATTGAAGACCCTTAGCTACATGTGGGATCTCGTGGTGGCTTCACCAGCCCTTGTGTGTAAGGAGAGGCGTGGTGTTAGGGCTGACGCTGGGAGAACAGGCTTTGTAATAAAGCACTTCCTCAGTCCTGCAGTGTTTCTCTTACACCCATTATTTAATGCAGCAAATGTAACCCGAGCTTGAAAGGCAATATTGAACGCCAGATGTAGGATGGGCAGGCACAGAAATGAAGGAATGGGTAGAGGAGTGCGAGACCAGACAGATCGATGTTAGGCATATTTTCATGCACAGGAAAAGCGCTGTCTCTGTGCCTTCTGTCTGCTTCCCACCAAGTACTCTGTGCCTGTATCAAGCTGTTAAAATTTTTAGACATTCAGGTTATTGGATATTTTCTGCGTCTGTCTTTGCATGAAGGAGCAATTACAAAGAACTGGAGAGCTGATTTTCCGTGAGCAGAGAGTCAAAGTGTTTCTGCATGTTCGTCATTTCAATAAGCAATATGGTGCTTTATTTCCCTTGTAAAAGTTTAAAAAAAAAATTCTGTGCAGAAAGATTTTTCCAGGCTCCTAATTAAGACACAATCAGGAAACTAAGAGGTGGGACAGCAGATTTTGGGGGCTGGTTTGTTTGTTTGTTTTTTAATTATAGCACTTGCCAGTCTTCAAGGGCTGTTAAAAAAAAAACTTGTTTTTTTTTTTCCGTAAATATAAATTGCAAATTCATTTTTTCTAGCAGAGCTGGAGTTGTAGTCTGAATACTAAAGAAGTTAGAATGTTCTTTGGGACATTTTTCTTTCATTCAGGTGCTGAACTATTAAAATAATAAAATAACTATGGCTAGACCTTGTTTAATTTGTACCTGCTTTATGTACTTTTTTGCCAAAAGTTTTTCAGTGCTAAATTTCTCTGAAACATTTAAGTAGCACATAGTGTAAGTATTTCCCTTTTTTAACACCCTGTACCCAAAGCCACTTTGTGATTCCTGTGTATGTACACTCTTGGAAATGGGATGTTGGCTTCTACATTAGAAGGTACTTCCAGACTTTTATTTTTAATTCCTTGGCATTTTCTAGATTCTGGCTTCAATACGATTCAGCACATGGCAGACAAAATAAAATGTTTATTAATGGTTTCAAATAGTTTAGCATCCTGAGTCTTCCTTTAACAAAGCTTCTGAGGACTTTTGGAAATCTGGGCTCTTCCTATAGGGGCTGTAGTGGGATCTGACTATCAAATGATAATTTCTGCTGAACTTCAGATAATTTTTGAAGGCCTGCTCTGTAAATCTCGTGGAAGACCTAAATCTTCTGAGACTTTGACTTCTTCAGTTGTTTTTCTTTTGATGTCTATGTGTGTCAAATTTGTATTGTTTTGGAATTGGGCAGTCACCTTATTGACAGGCTTTGAAAATCTCTTTATAGATGATCTGGGACAAGAAAGTATCTTGTTATTTAGGACTCACTTTTCTGTATCACTGGTGAACAGTTTTTGAGGTGAAAGATGGTATCCCTCTTCTTATTGTCTTCCAGCTGTGGTAATCCTTTGCTCACTTGTCTAATGTCTCTCTCCAGCCCTTTACCATAAATATCCTTCTGTCCTCTGAAAAAAGATTGAAAGAGACAAGAATAGCTGGTTGGAGTTTTCTCTCCAAATGTGGTCATGGTTCCCCACCTGTGGAGCAGAGCTCTGCTAACTGTTTTATTTAGGCTTCATCTTCTTGCGTTTAGCTTTTGCTGGCTATAATCTCTGATGAGCTAATTTTGGTTGGGGTTAGATGACATGATAGCTGACATGTTATGATCTTTTGAAAACCGTAGCTTTAAATCTAGAGGAGAAGGACTGGGCAGAGGGAGTTTACCTGATCCAGAGGCTGCTGAAGAGGCATCCTGAGAACTGCTAGAGGGTGAAATGTAGGAAGAGAAATTGTCTTAACATTTTTCTCTGCCCATATGTGATATATATATAAGGCTGTGTGACACAGAAGAAGCAAGACTGTTTCCAGGGCATGTTGGAGCATGTGTCAGGAGACAGGCTTCCCAGCATTGCTCCTATGACCACAGCCAAAGTGAGAGAGAGGATGACTGTACCTGCCAGGGCACGGTGCTGCAATACCCCTTTCAATTCAGGACCCCAAGTGCCAGGGGTAGGCGGTGTGCCAGCAGGCTGGGCTGCTCAAGCAGAAGTGCAGTGATCAATTCATTGGCAGTGCAAGCCCTGAAGGTGTTGCAGGAGGGGAGCATGAAGCAGGGGAAGGAGTGGGAGAAACTGTATGATCCTCCTGCCCAACAAATGGCATTAGGTAGATGTGAGAGTGTGGAACATACTTGGCGGCATGAGTTTGAATAGTGGTGGTAGCTGTAACCACACAACAGAGGCCATCTGATAGAGGGAATGGCCCAAGTGATAGACAAAGTTCCCGCAAGGTCACAGGGGAGCAGTGGGGCAATAATACTGGTGCAGAGCACGTCCTTGTATATCCACATCTGTCTTCAAACGTCACCTCCACTTTTCCTTTACCTGCTCTAGAGAAGACCACTTTTGATACAAGTTGCTGATACTGAATAGTGAATAACTTATCACAAAAGCTTTATTTTGAAAGAAAGCTCTTTAGAGGAGTCGTCTTTATTATTGAGATTTTTCATCCCTCTGGGCAGCTTAGAGGGCAAAAGTGATCTACATATGTGAGCATTGATGCTGATCCTTGCTTTCCATGAATTGACTCGTTGCCATATCACGCAGCTAAAATTTGCCACTTAAACTATTTTTAGAGGTGAGTTTCAGCCCTGCACATTTTCAGCATGCTTTGGAAGTACTAAAGATAAAGCATGAAGCATTAGTATTTCGTGTTCGGATTGTAAACTTCTTTGTGGACACTAAGCCTGGCAAAACTTCCTTGAAGTTGGTAGATTCAATGAAACTCAGTGGCCAGGCTGAATTACTTAAATGGCTTTGTGACCAACATATTCAAATGCTTGTGTTTCCTAGGATTGCCAAGATGAGTGTTTTCCAGTGCAAGCCTGTCTATATTTTGTTTATTTGCTTTTGTTTCACAATCTCTTATATATTAAAAACCCAAAACTTTCTTAGCCATCATGACTGCTGAGAAGAGGCAGAAGTATGGGATCTAATCAGAAAGTGAATTTAAAGAATCCATAGTTTTATATGAAGCAAATTAAAAACTGCAGAATTTTAAAATGAGGCTCATCATTGCTTTAGATGGCTCTGGTTAATGGACTTTGCATGTCTATGATTGGCAATACTCTTCTCCTCTTATAGAATCAAGGATTTAGCAGGATTAACATTGCGTCTCTTCCCACAGAAATGTATTATTTTTGCAAAAGTAATTTAATTTTCCAAATAATAAATTGGAGGAAAGCATTACTGCCAACTTCAAACAGTCAAGGCCGTTTTTCCTGCAACTGTTTGGAAATTATTATCTTTGGCACCTGGAAAACTTAACTCAGTTCCTTTTCTTTTTAAAGGTTCTTTATGTTCATTCATGTTTTGCAGGTGATTAAATGATTTTTATAGTTACAGTAGTCAGCATATGGGGACTACTGTGTATGTTGTAGAATGGTTATCAGGCCCATTTGACCAAAATTTTAATTGCAGACTTCTGTAATCTGCAATAGCTTGAGATAAAATGCCTTGTCCTGTTGCTAATGGCAGGGATCTAGCTCGTGGTTCTGTTTAGCTCCTGTTAGAGCGTTCACTCTTTCCCCTCTGAAGCTCTTCTTTCTGGCGCACCACTCACATCTGTTTGGGGTAGGGATCATGGTGGGAGCGTGGGACTATTGTCGTCTATCGGCAGGTCTGCTGTTCACATAAAACAGGTAAGAAAGACATGAGTTTTGGGACCTGGAGAACATAGATACTAGCAATGGTTATTGTTGCAGAGCTGCTAGTTGCTACTTGCTTTAGAATTGGTGCAATAAGGAGACATTTTTATGAGGAAAAATAGAGGGCACTAAAATTGCCATGTTGCAAGACCTGAATTAAAAACAATAGAGGAAAAGCATCTCTCTGATATTTCTCTTTAACTTGGAAATACATAACTGTGGCTACTCTTGCTCTGTTTTATATTCCTGATTACTGCTTTGAATGGAAGGAACGTATTTCAGTGGTTTTTAGACATTTGCCTCCTTTTTCTGTACTTCCAGGTTCTGATTGACTGGATTAATGATGTGCTGGTGGAGGAGAGAATCATTGTCAAACAGCTTGAAGAGGACCTTTATGATGGGCAGGTGCTGCAAAAGCTGTTAGGTGAGTTCACAGAAGAGAAGGCGGCCCCAAAGACTGGAAGGCGCCTAAAGTTAATCTCTTCCAAAGCTGCAGACAGCAGGAGGTCTGTGCAGTAACTCACCGTCTCACCAGGGACACAGTTTGTTTCACTGATAGCTACAGTGTCAGCTTCTCCATCTGTTCTCAGGCTGTCTGCTGAAAGGGGAGGAAATCCAGATGATTCCTAGGATAAATCTGTTTCAAGGACTAAGTGTAGTCCAGACAACTGAAATATGTGGCAGAAAAAAGGTGAAGAGATTCGTGTTTACAGTGGGGGACCAAGCAGAAGCCATGTGGTCCAAAATTTTGTCTGTATAGTTTTCTTCTGAAAGCTTTTAGACTGAGAGCTTTTTTGGGGTCCTGATAGAATTACTTTTAGGGGAAAAAGAATGAGAAGAAGAGAATGCATGGCAGCAGGCACATACTCATTATGTGCACTTACGTGCAAATGATTCGTGAAAGGATATAGTCAGTTAAGCAACTGTGATTTTGCAACCCCCTTACATCTTCGCAATGTGTGTGTTCACACAAGGAGCACAATGGACAAAACCTTATGATGATGCAGTGATTTATGGGGGTGCTTTTAGCAAACAAAGGGACTTGAAGCTTCAAGTGCCATTGTAAATCCACACTGTTTCTTGGAGACAGATAGTCAGACTGCTCTCAGTTTACTTATGACATGTTTTCAAGAGTGGGCTGGGATGCGGGATGTATGTGTCAGAGCGGGGCAAGAGGACCTAGTGGCGCTAATTCCACTGGTGCTAATGGATGCCACTTACTGAATTTTCTGCATATGCCCCTTAAAAAACAGGTCTGCAGCATTTTGGTGAACATTTGCAAGCTTTTAAAATTGATTAACAACAATTAACTTTGTGTGCAATTAAAACTCCTCAAAAATAACTTGAGGAATAAACCAAGAGTACTTTTAACTTTGTTAGACTGCAGCTGGGACCCTTCAGACATGGTGAGGAGCAGAGGTGTAGAGTTAAATTTAGCCGGGGAGTATTTGTGTGAATACAGTTGTACTTCTTAACGTAAAGACGCTGCTGTTATAGCAGGTGGTAGTGCATTTCACTGTAGCCACTTGTCATAGGTATCACTGCTTTCTTACGCTCCCTGTGGAGGCCATGGTTCCACCTTCAGGCCTGCAGACGTTTAGAAAGTGCTTAGTTGTACATACATACATATGTACCTCAGTTGGACTTAGCATATCTTACAGGAGGAAAGGTGGATTAACTGGACTGTTTTTTCCTCAGTTTTTCCTGTTGGGCCTCTGAGTGGAGAGCAAATGCTTCTCCCCTGATGTGAAGCTATCACAACTCAGCCCCAATCTTGTGTTGTTCTTCAGTGGTGTCTTGGTTTCTTCAGCAAGACTTGTATTACTGAATCTATCCATCTTTGTGCTGCCTCACTGATGCAAGAGGCAAAGCACGTCATGCTTGTGGTGGTGCTCCTGATGCTCGAGGCCTCAGAATTAAGTCAGCCCTCTGTTGTGCAAGTCATGCCTGCAGGAAAGGCTAACAAAATAGGGTCATTAAACTTCAAGTAGTAGTTATCATTCCTTGTGTGTGAGAGATGTTTCAAGAAGATCTGTCTTGATAGGCAGACACAAAAAAAAGATGAAAGGCAACAGCTTGTCAGTGGGCTTATTTTGAAGCAGTTTGGAGTAAGAGATTAGCAAGTAGCTGTCTGACTGATTGAGGCAGAGCTCCTTGTTTAGTTGATTTTATCAAGGTACAAGTTGTGCCACTCGGAGAGGCTGGAGTGGCTTGGTACACATGGTGTCAGGGTGAAAGGAAATACATTTCTGCTTGCTGACTGGCAGCTAACCTGGGCTGAGAATAGACAGGAGCCATAACACGTGACCAAAAAATGTATCTTGTAGTTTAATTTTTTAAAAAACGTCTAAAATAATTTTAAATAATATTTGCATAATTTGGTAGTCAGTTAAAAACGACTCAGACATCTTGGCTAAAGAACATTTTTCCTATTAGTATTATTCAGATATTGATAAAAATTTCCTACTGTAGATTGATAGAAACAGTCGTAGTGTTCAAAGTATTTGTGAATTGATAACCTGCAAGTCTCTTCTGTTTGGGTTATTAAAGTACTTTTGTATTTCAGTCACTTTTTAAGAAAAAAAAATCTTCAGCTAGGTAAAATGTCCAGAAGAAACATAGCCTTGAACTTGAGAGCAGAAATATTTCCATTATTGGAATAATAGATTTTGACAACTCTGAAATGTTTCTGAAAGAACCTTTAGAGTTGAAGCCCATCCCATTTTGTGAAAACAGTTTTGGTGAAGTATGTTTTTTTGTTTTAAAGACTGGAATAATAATATATAATTGGAATATGTTCAACCGGTCCTGAACTCTAGTCCCAGCAGCAGAGTGAGTTTGACCATTTTTTTCCCCAGGGTGGAGGGAGAAAAGAGATCGGCTGTTCCTATTGCTCTGGTGGCTAGAGAACTCTACCCTGCCTTCTTTCTTCTTTTTTTTTTCTTTTTTAGAGGAATTCAGCTCCTGTGTCTTTGGCAAGGGCCACAATGCAGAGGAAGAGAAGAATGACTTGTCTAAGACTTTGGCAACAAATAATTATATTACAGCAGCAGAATTCAAATTTTAGTAATGGCATTTTACAAAATTTCCTGCATTAGTTCATTTTTGGAAGTTACCAACCATGATGTTAAAATGTCATAACAACATGGCAAGATTGTACCAACTTACTTCTTTCTTTAAATTAGTTCCACTAAGCCAATACAAATCTGTGGGTCATATGAGTCTATGACTCTTCATGGTTCGAGGAGGCAAAGTTTACTTTAACTTAAATTCATACCTTCAGCTAACTTGAAATAAAGCTTATCAAGCTGAAGTAAATGTTCACACAATACTTCCCCTTTTTTGTCCTAAATTACCTTGTTATTAGAAGAGTCCATTAAACCTGTGCAGATTCCTTGTGTAGTGAAGGCTGTGTTGTGCCAAATGCTTTTCAGCAGTGAAAGAAAATGGGAGGTACAATAAATATTATTACCAACTTGGTACCTATCTGAAAGTTGTTATATATTTTGACACCTGATTGATAAGCATGTTCTGCCAGACCTTACCAGTTTTCTGTCACAGGTTTTGTTGGAATTGATACACTTTGATGAAAGGTTTGCTTTCAGCTATTTTGCTCTCTGAGGAAAATTATTCTCTTGGAAAATTTCTAGTAGAGTCCAGCTCTGTCCCGTGCTCTGTGCTCGTTATTCCCACCCAGGCCCTTGTTTAATCTGATTTTGCCTGTTCTTTTTGTTGTTCTTTTTTTTTTTTCAAATACAGAAAAATTGGCTGACCGTAAACTGAACGTGGCAGAAGTGACGCAATCTGAAATTGGTCAGAAACAAAAGTTGCAGACGGTCCTGGAAGCTGTCCATGATTTACTCCGACCCCATGGCTGGACAATCAAGTGGAACGTTGACTGTAAGGACTCTGTTATACTTTCTGTCTCAGCTTCACAGGCAAGGAGGGTATGATAATCAATAGGTTGATCATATTGTCTGTGATGCAGTGTGTTTTTTAAAAATATTTATTTATTTGCATAGAGGGTGTTACCACATCCATGTATGGATTGTAACTGGTACCTTCTTCTGTGGTCTTTGTTTAAGGACAGATGTACATGGCTGTGGGATAATTGAAGTAATTTGTTCCTTTAAGGATATGCTTTCATTAGAAAGTTTTTAGTTTGCTTCCTGAATTTGAATCCCTACAGATATGAGAAATGTGTTATTCAAGTACTAGAGGGTGGTCTAATCCTTCGGGCCACCGCAGTGAGAGTAAAAGGATCCTGCACCCTGCATGCAGCTTCTGACAGGCTAAGTAGAAAGTGCCCTCTGTTCAAGCATGGCCTGTTAAAATCCGAAAGTGGGAATGGAGTTTGAGAAGTCTCTTCACCTAGGCAGTGGGTGGCGTTCATGTCTCATAGCCAGGAAAGCTTGTGTTAACAGTTTGGAAGTCTGCTAAAAGCAGAATTCTCCAGTGTTCTCCAGTACAGTGAAAGGCAAGTGATTGAGTCTGCCTGCCTTCATTAACTAGAAAGGGAGCTGAAGTGTTTGGACTCCTAAGTTTGGCATGTAACTTAAAGGGAGGGTTGAATCTAGGTTTTGCTGCCTGTAAAATTATATTGTAGGCCTTGTTAATTTAGGAAAAAGAGGAAGAAGGATAAAAATAAAAAACCACTGTGTTCACCAAAGGCATTTTTCACTGCCTTTTTCCTGCCTTTTTCCCAGAGCTGTTTGTTTAAAATAAGGGCTCAGTGTTCTTTTATTTGCTTCATTTTCCTTGTTTCCTGCAGCAATCCATGGCAAGAATCTGATTTCCATTCTTCACCTTCTGGTAGCTTTGGCAATGCATTTCCGGGCTCCCATTCGACTGCCTGAACATGTGTCTGTACAAGTGGTAGTTGTACGGGTGAGTATGAACTCATAGGAGAAAATGATCAGAACAATCATTGTTTATCACTCTGATTTTGCAGTACTGGGCTGCTCCCATCCGTTGCCCCCCGATCTCTTGTCATTTAGAAAATTCTTGTCCCTAAACTGTTGTTTAGTGAGTCCCGGTCCTGGGAATGCATTTTTGGTCTGCTTAAATGTGATCCTGAGAACATCATATCTTTTGGGACATCATATGTTTGGGACCACCATTTGCTACTGCAATATCAAGCTAAAAATATGTGATGGGATTTTGTATAAGAGAGAGTTGTGTCTGTGATTTCTGGCACTTTAGTAAATGGTTTTTGCCACACATTTTTTGTAGAGAAGCCATTGAAACGCAACCAGCACAGAAAGGAGTTTCAGCACTTAGAATCTCCCTAGTCTGGGAAGCCTGTTACTGATGTTGTTTTTCCCCAATGACTTGTTCTGCAGACTTAGACAAGTTGTTTTCCTTGGCGTGCTAATAGACTTTCATCATTTCTTTCACAGCCTTGTGTTTTTGTTAGCTTTAGGAGAAGAGATCTGACCTGAGGAACCCTGACTTCTTCCCTGTTGCCTTAGATGCTGCTCTAGTTATTCCCTTCTCTGCTTGGTGTTGACCATTTCCTTTCACTCTACAAAGACTCTACTATCAGAGCATACGTACTCTTGTTTTTTTATCTCTCCTTCTGTCCCAACTGAAGCTCCTGTGGCAGTACAGTCCATAGCATGCGAACCCAGCTTTTTTCAACAGCTGTTGAAACACCAGGCAGAGCCGTTCCAGCTGGCAGTCTGATCATGCTGTGACTGTTTGCTGTGGTGCTCAGCGCTGTTGTTGCAAGGCAGGCTCAGCTGCTGGCAGCAGTCTGTGGAAGTGCTTTCTGTACGTGCCATTTACTGTTAGAGCTGTCAGGCTGTAGTAGGTTTCCTTTCAAGAATAAAGAAGATAAAGTGATCTCGGACTCCATTTTGCAAATGTGGATCCCCTTACAAGATGCGATTGCATGGTGGTTGATTAGGCAAGCCTCATTTTGCTTTATATTTAAATAATGGCATTTTCCAGGCTCCCTGCCTGAATGCTCTAGAGGTACAGGGTGTGATGTAAATGAATAATTGATGGATACTCCCTGGCTCACAATAAATGTATGTATTATCTTTAAGAGGTGATTTTGAACTGCTTTCAGGCTGTTGTAGTTCTTTCATTATAAGAATGATGAGTTAGGTATAAAGTAACATGAATGTAAATAGGAGACTAATTTCTTTTTAAATTTCTTTTGACTGTCTTGGAAAGGTAAGGAGGAGAATGTAAATATAAGGTGGTCAACAGTCCTCTGGCACCCTGATGCTAGAAATCTCCATCTGCCCATTACAGTGAAGCGTCTTCTGTAACTGCTAAGTCAGAAAAAAACCTTAGGTAAAGAGGTAAAGCCTCCCTTTCCTTGTCCTTGGTTCAAGCTTCAGGACCCTCCACCTCTGTAGCAGAGGGAAGGCTGTGGAGAAGATGTTTTCACATCTTTTCCTGTTGGAGGGATATAGAGAAGACACCTACTGAGAGCATCTGGTTCACCAGAGTCCCTGCATCTTGAGACTAGACAAGGCTGAGGTGAAGACAGGATGAGATAAAGACTGACGGAAGCTAGGGAAAGAATGAAAGAGAGAAAGAGCAACTCCTGTGTCCCCAGGGGAGTGCCTAAAGGTGTCAGAGCAATGGTACAATGAGAGTTAATTTAAGCTCAAGAGGCTGTAAGCTCTTGCTCTTGGACGTAGAGCCTGGAGTCCTGGAGATGGTTATGGCAACTGCTGGCTGTGAGCCTACCTCAGCTGGCCCCATGCTGGCTTGTTTCAGCCCCCCATCCCACTGCTAGGAAAAGCTTGCAACTCTTCAGCTTTGTTTATTTAAGTGGAAAGCGAGGCGCAGTATAAACTGAAGCATGTTTCTTCTTGAACAATAACTTTTGCCTTGTAGTTTGGTAAATTGAATTTTTGTAGTTCAGCATCCATAATCTAGTCTAAAAATACATGCTGGTTCAGTAACACAGATCTCTCTAAATGGATTTTATTTAGCCTTTGTTATACTAATGACAAACAAGAATGCTAATGAGGTTAGTATTGTTCCTAATCCAAGTAAGACAACTATTATTAAGAAGATTATTATAATATTATAATTATCAATTTATTGTTAAATGATATCTTATTACAGTTCCCAATAATGATTAGGGTTCTGTCAAACTAGTCACAATTAACATAAGATGTCTGCTCTGAGAGGTTTTGGTTTAAATGCCTCTTCTTGCTTGAATATGCATTTAAGGGGATTAATCAACAGTTTGTTAAGTGACTTCTTTTTAAGCTTTGCAGAATTGACCCCGCAGCAAGAAGACCTTGCAAGATGTCGTGGGAGCATTGTGCAAGAACACACCCACACTGAAATTTTCAAAACTAGTTAAATCTCACTTTCATGGGTGACTTCGGCACTTAGAATTATCATAATCAACTTTGTTGAGCCATCCTCACACTGTGCAGATGCACGAGGTGCTTCTTGCCCAGAAGGGCTATGCTTACACTATGAAAATAAGAGAGTCATACTGGTTTAGCAAGTTACTGCTTAGCCAAGTTGTGTGCATTTCCATAGCCCATCCCAGAGCAATGCAGAATACCTTATTAGCTTGTGTATGTGTCGTGGGCTTTTTCTTAGCTAATTTTTAGTGTCCTGCTCTATACAGTGAGATAATAATATGATAGAACTGTGCTACATGGAAAGTATTTCTCAGGATCTCCACAGACTGGTGGTGATTCTGCCTTTCCCATAAATTCTTCCCTTCCTTTAGCATCTTGAGGTGAGAGGTGGAGACTTTCCTAAGGTGCTGTGTTGGGTTTTTTTTAATTAAAAATAGTTAATTTAGAGTCTGAGAAAGATCTGTAGCAGGATCTGTATCTGTCAAACAATACACTATCCTTTTTTGGTCCTGCACTGTATAGTATGCTCAGAAACTCAGAAGCATTTTGGAGACAACTTTCTTCTTTACCTTCCTTGGCAGGAAGACCCTTTACCTATCTATCTGTCTGTCAGTATTACCTAGAACAACTACAAGACTAACCCAGCAGGAAAACACTTTTGTTTGTATTACTTTATAATGGGCGCCATGAAGTAGCCCCTCTCAAGAGCTGAGTTCCTGAAACCTAGTTACTTTCAAACCTTTTTGAAATCAACCTCCAGAGTTGGTTTTCTTAGTGGTTTTTGTGTGAAATAGAAAATTTTGTAACCGTGGCAATACGTGGTTATACATGTCCTAGCAGAGCAAGGGTTTAGGTGGGTCTTCTAGTTAAGATCCTGTTGATTAACTTATAGCTACTCCAAGTGCTGAGTTAAGAGTCTAAGATGGTACGTGTTTTAATACTGGTGTCACTCAGCATGGGCCTGTCTTTCCAGCCCTCCTCAGTGAGGGCAGGGAGGAGAGAAACTTCATGGTTTCAGTGCGTGCTTGCAGTGAGAACTAAAAATCCTGAAATTTTCCTTCCAGCTGACTGTACTGTCTGATATTTGAAATGTAAACTTGCATGATGAAGAAATACCCTAATTCAGGAAAACAAAAACGTTCTCAGAAATAAATGTAAAAATTGTTCTTAAGACTCCCTGTGTTTGTTATTTTTACAGGGCTCAGGAGTTGCCATCTTTTGCGCTTAGCTTTCCTCATCCTCATTTTTAAAATTGCAGCATGTCCCACCTTGGTGCTGCTGGGAGTCCTGAGGAATTTTTACAGTAATTCCTTTGTAGTCTGAGTTGCAGACTGAAAGGTCAGAGGCAAGGCAGGATGAAGAATAAATGTGTCTGGTGGCAGTGGTGCAATGAATCAAAGTTTTATCAAAGAATGACATTTGCTTTTGGATTGCAAGGCCAAGGGACCTAGGCTTGCTGTGCGAGCAGCATGCTCAGCTGCCTCGGAGGGGGCTACACAGAAATGCTGCTGTTTCCACCTGTTGGGGAGGCAGTGTTGGCATCCATACCTCTTTCTTATCAGGGGTTTGGAGGCATTCTTCACTAGTCACCACTTAATGAATTTTTGTTCACAGTTTATAGCGTCTTCTCCCTGGGGTATGTCGTGCCTAGAAGGTCCAGAAACCTGTGTTAATAAAGCAGAGACGTGGTGGGATGGAATAAAGACAACATTGTTTTGTATGCAAGAAAACATTGCCCTGTCAGATGCTTCCTCATTTTTCCATCCATGCTGTCATCCTGGCTTGTTTCACCAAACCTTCTGGCGCTGTTCCTGTGGCTCCCTCGGGGGAGCAGGATGAGATGTATGCGTGATAGGGAAGTGAGGGGCTGTGAAGACATGGCCAGCTGGCGGCATCCAGTGCAGGGCCCAGCTCAGGCATGGAGCTGTAATGCCACAGCGATGGGAGACCACGGCTCCCACCGTGCTTTCAGCCAGACTCCCTGGGTGGTGGCGTGAGAAAGCAATGCTGCCTTCATTTGTCGAGTAGGGAGTGGAAGGGCAGGAGTTCTTCTTACTGGTTTTTAGATTTCAATTTTTATTTCTTAGATTGCTTGTGGGGAAGGATGTGTTTCTCTTTAAAGCTGTTCTCCCTAATAAGTTCTTGTTGGGGGTTCAGCTGATGAAAATGATTGAGATGGCATATGTGTACAGAGCTTGTGCCTGGGGGGGTGGTTTCCCTGCTTACCTGAGCTAGCAGCTTTATTAACCCTGCTGTAAGTCATTCTGACAGACCCAGTTCCTAGATGGCTGCTGAGATGTGAGCTCTTTGTGTCAGCTTTTTAAGCGTAGAGAAGCGAGGAAAGAAATTCCTACATTCAGGCATAAGGCTCTATGCCATAGTTTTAGAAGGGACCCATAGAGATGTTAAGAAAGTTTTTAACTCGGGTATAAGCACTTCCAGCCTCCGAGAGGCATGTGCCATGTCTCCAAAACTCTGGAGAGGCTCAGAAACATTTCACCCTCACCTGTGTCAGGGTGCCGTGTCTTAACAGAGCTGAGGAAGCTGTTATAAAGCTGTTTTGAAACTGAGTCTCACCGCATGCTAACCCTGTTGGGTAGGAGACTCCTTATTCATTCAGAAAATGATCCCAAGGAGAGAAAACCCAGTAACAGGGAAATACTATTCGTTGAGAAATCACTAGTTGGGCTCTTTATGCTCCCTACGTTTCCTTGGTGGATGTGTTCCTGACAGGCGTGTGGCTGGTGGCCTCAGGAACATGCCTGCTCTAAGGGAGCTGCCCTCATGCCGGGATTGCTTTGCCGGCACACCGGAGCCCTGGCCTGGGGGCAGCCATCCGTGTTATTTCAGCCCCAGACCTCTCCGGAGAGCTAGGCTGCCAATTTTGTCAAATTGTTGGTTGACACCATGACATGAATGAGTGCCCTTGGGGAATTTAAGATGGGGCTGACAAACTCTCTCTAATTTGTCTTCCAGGCACTATGTTGACTCTGGTCTCAGGAGGAGAATTCCTAGCGAGTTTCGCTGCAAATATATATGTATATATATATATATATACACACACACACACACACACACATTTCCCAAACATCCATTTGGCTGTCAGCCTCATAAATGCCACTGTTCTGGGAGTGAGCCCTCCTGTGTCAGCTGTTTTACCTCTACCTCTACAAAACTTAGCGAGCACGCTTTATCCAGCTTTCTCCTCTGGGATTCTGAAAGATGCTGAATGCTGCAGAGCCCCTAATAAGCTTCTCGTTCACTAATGCCGTCTCAGTTTCTAACTCCATCTTCCTTTCCAGAAACGCGAAGGCCTCCTTCAGACCACTCATGTTACAGAAGAGCTGACAACTACAACAGAGTAAGCACAAAACACTTTAGCTTCGGAGTGTGTCTGTGGTGCATGATGTGATTACAAAGATGAAACAGAGACTTAATCTTCCCCTGACCCCTGCTAAATTAACACATTCCCTTAATGGGGTGCTTTTTTAACTATATAGAAATAACTTGGTCTCTGGAAATATGTTACAAAGGAGAAAAGTGTCTTCTTGACATTGTTGTGTTACAGAAGCTTTTAACTGAATAGTTCATTGAAAGTGACCTTTGTGGGCCCTTTTTT